CACTGAGGAAAGCGCTTTACTTGACTGTTATAGTGTGCGTGTGGCCTAAAATAAACATCTCATGATAACTGTGTCAACGCTTTGACATTGACAATGAAACCATGAAATACGGAATATTCTTATAAAATGTATGAAACAACCATTGAAAATGAAAATTAGTTTCGTAAAAATAAAACATTTTTATTGATTTGATTTATATGATGGTGATTAATATATTGCTAGTAATCATCGGAATTGTATTAAACTTATCTGAAGTGCAAAGTCTATCCATTCCTTGCAACCAGAATAAGAAGTCATTTGAATGTTTTCATCCGACCAGTCATTGTAATAGAAAACAAGGTTTCTGTGAATGTAATAAGAAGTATCCAGTAGAAATTCCTGAATTAAATGTTTGTCTCACAAAACAAAAATTTGGTGACCGCTGTGTCCACTCAATTCAATGCCAACACTTATATGCCATTTGTGTGGACACGGATTCTGTTGAGTTGAATCGATTTGAATTAATAGGCATTCAATTGCTTACTGAATACTACAGAAAGTTGTCCTTTCTCAATTTTGGTGGTACCAACAGATCGATAAAAGTAGATGGATACAAATCGTTAGGCAATTGCCAGTGTAGGCCCGGCTTTAGACCAGTGGCCACACTCAAGGGTATTATATGCCAGATGACTGTCCTCAATGACATAGAGTGTGTCGGTTCCCATCAATGCCTACAAATGGTAATCAATGATAATTGTTTTGATAATTTTCAAGTCAATGTCTTGTGGTATAGGACTCGAACTCTCACTGCAACGCAAAGATAGGCCGTTGTTATTGCGACACCGGATACATCTATGACACCGACAGGAATGAGTGTCGGATCAGTCCCAAGAAATTCGGTGATAATTGCAACCATGAGATCGAATGTCTCAATTGGGACACAAATATGGATTGCCGTTACTCTCAATGCATCTGCAAAAGTGGTTACAACTTCGATATGAATACTCAGAGATGCAAACCAACCGACAGAGACGAGAAGAAGTGCGCGTATGGACTCAAATGGGATGAGACAAGCGGCGAGTGCGAGGTTTT